GGCTGCTCTAACATTTCTAAAAACTGCTGCAGATAATGGTTTGGGTTTCCCTTAATCAAAATGGCCTCAAAATTATCCATTATCCTAAGATCTTGTTCTAAGATGTTACTAAGATCTGATAAAGTTGTATACTTGAATATAACAAAGATTAATTTTCACATACTTATATGGATGGGGAAACATCTTTTCATAGAGGAAAGTGATGAATAGAAGAGGCTTTTAGCAGAGAAAACACTATAAGGTATAAATAAAATTAACTATTTCCCTCATATCATATATAAACCTTTTATGAACTTTCAAATCTAAATTCTACATTCCACTTTAGCAAAATCCAATAATTTTATGGCTCTAATAGCAAAAATTAAAACTTGGAATAATTGCAAACAATTACAAGGGTTTTTTTTTTAAAGTAAAAAAAAATTCATCCTTCCTTATTTTATGAGGAAACAATTTTGACCAGCCAAGTAAAATAATCCTAGATGATACTATTTTAATTACAAAGAGTAGACTAATTAGACTTGAGAAAACTAATCCCCCTACCAACCACATAAGTGAACATATAGCCTCAGAAAAATAACAGGCCAGAAAACTTAGCTGCCAGTGATATACATCCTTATTAGATAGTTAAAGATGCCACTTGTATTCCAAGAAGATCTGTCATGAAACTAGAGAATGTGTGATTAAAAGAGAAAGATTTAAGAACAACTCAAGTTTTATAATGAAACACGGGGTCTTTTTAATAGCAAAATTCTCCACCATCAAAGAATGCGATGGCTCTTGTAAATTCAAGTAGATTTAAAGACTTCGATCTGCATGGGCTAATCAAGGAATTGTGAGAAAAAATAAAAAAAATTCAATTTTTTCCTCACCTTCAAGTCTCCAAGGGCTTTTACATGTTATAGTATCTATGGGATCTTTCTATCTCATTCCCTTTAATACTCAGTTCCAACAATCTGCTGATCCCACTGAGATCTCCAATTCAACTTTTTCCCCTGTCCCTCATCTTTTTGATGCCCTTTTCTCCCCTCCTACCCTGCTCCAACTTCAGGGCCAAAAATGTAACCATTCCCTTGCATACTCCTTCAACTTGCTTGCTTCACCCTCTCAGCAAAACCACAGCCTTGGTTAATTGTAACTCTCCATCTACTTCCAGCTGTAGGATTGAATGTGACCAGAAAAAATCACAACCACATTGACCACACTCACTTTATGAGCATGAGTGCAAGCAGACCCTGACACCATCTGAAAACACACTGTACTTCCTTACTCTCCCATTCTCCTGGAAGACCATTTCATATCTTCTCCCCAACTCCAAATACCACCTTCCCCATCCCTACTCAAGCTGATGACTTTTCCTCTTACTTTACTGAGAATATTAAAGCACTCAGAAGATAACTTCCATGGTCCTCACCGCATCTACCCAGCATCTGCAAGCACACAGCAGATTGACTAGGCACCTGCCTATCTAGAACCAACCCTTTCACTTGTACCATTAATCCCGCCCCTCTTGCCTTCTCAAGGATTTTGTTCCAACTATTCTCCCCTCTCACCTATCTCGCAAGTTTTTCACTCTACTGGAGAATGCCTGTAAGCATAAAAACACACTGATGTTTCTCCGGTGCTAGTAAAAGAAAAATCAGAAACAAAAAAGCAACCTCTTCACTTTACTTCTCTTATCAGCTAACTCCCAACCCCATTTCTTTGGTGACCTACGGAGCAAATTTTGTGAAAGAATAACCTATATTCTGTCTCCAGTTCCTCTCCTCCTTTTCCCCCACTACTTCTCTGAAATGCTTTGTCACAATCACAATAGGTTCCACATTGGTAAATCCAATGGTCAGTTCTCAGCCCTCATCTTACGTGACCAAGCAGCAGCACTGAAAACATCATCATGCGCCCTCCTTCTCTGCTTTATTCACTTCACCTCCAGGACACCACACACTGCTGGTTTCCTCCCTGGTTGGTCCTTCTCATCTCCTTTGAGGGCCTCCTCTTCTCTCCAACCTCTTCGTGTTTTAGTGCCCCAGAGTGCAGACGCTGGCCCTCTTCTCCTTTTGATCCCAGCCATCTCATGTGGCTTTAAATACCATCCATATGCCAAAGAAAGTTATATTTCCAGTTTTATGCCTCCCCCTCAACTCCAGATGTGTATATGCCAATGCTTAATTGATACTTACACTTGAAAGTAAAATAGGTCTCCCCAGTTCAGCAGGACCACAAATGAATTCCAGAATTTTCTACCCAAAAGGTGTTTCTCCTGCAATATTATCTCAGTTGAGGAGAACTACATTTTTCTAGTTGCTGAGGTTAAAGACCTAAAGTCATCTTGAGGCTCTCTTTTTCAAATGCCAGACATATAACCTGTCAACAAGTTATAAAGGATCTGTCTTCAACTATTTCTCACCATATCTACTGTCACCTCTGTTGGAGGCTTCTCTCATGTGGGTCATTGCAGCAGCCTCTTCTCTGTGCATCAAATGTTGGTCTCCTACTGTCTATTTACAACATAGCAGCTAGAGTGTTCCTTATTTTCAAGGTATGGCTCCCAGGCCAGCAGCGTTGGCAGCTCCTGAGAATTTTGTAAGGCTCACTGCAGACCTACTGAATTAGGAACTGTGAATGCGGCTGAGCAATTTATGTTTTAAAAAGCCCTACAAGTGTTGCTGTTATACCTCAAAGTTGAGAACCATCATCCTGGATATCTACATGGGTAACTTCTTCACTTCCTTCAAGTCTTTGCTCAGATGTCACTTTCTGAATGAAGCCTGCTCTGACCACCCTATTTAAAACCACAGCCTCACTCTTTCCCCGGCACTCCTCACTTTTCTGTACTCTGTTCTCCTTTTTCTTTCTTTTGTCACCTGTATTTTCTAAAATATCAGAATTGACATTTTTATAATAGTACTGTCTCACCTCACTAAATTACAAGCTCCATGTCTTATTCACTGGTACACACCAGTGTCTCAAACAGAATCTAACACAATGTAGGTACTCAATAAATATCTGTTGAATTAACTGAGTGAATGGATAAAGGGAGCTTAATTGGCATGGCAAAAGCGGACAAGGTTACAAGTAAAGCATGACCAACCAGCAGGCAGGGAGTCATCTGCCAGTCGGGGGTAGTGGGCCTGAGGACATAATTCACAAGTGTCACCTCGCTTCATTGTAAGGAGTGCAAAGATGAGATACATATGTGGTATTAACACTCCTGGTACTAGACACCTTTTATGGAACACAGGAACCACCCAGGCATCCTGACTACTGTGAATCTTCTTTTCTAACATTATAAGGAAGACGGAAGAATTCAGTTTATTGTCCTATGCTTTCAGACTATAGAAGCATAGTAGCATCAATGTTTCCTGATGCCTTTGGCTACCACCCTGGTGGAGGTGGCAAAGTGCCCTTATTACAGTCCCATACCTTCCTAAGTAACAGCTAGAGCTCCTTGACAGAATCCAAGGTTGGGGCAGCTGCATCTTTCATTCTTACATCCTCCCTGGGTTTGCTGAAAATAAGAGAGTTAGAGTCGCCTTTTGCCTTTCTATATATGAGTTTAAAAATGTTCCAAACAAAAGCAAGGTAACTTAGGAAGGGAAAAAAGATATTAGAGGAAACAATCATTTTTTTTTAAGTGCTACTGTTTAACATTCACAATATGGGCCAAAGTCAATGGCTGTATCATGCTACCATCAAAACCATGGCAATACTAGAAGTATATGTGCAACAAAACACAGAAACCTCGGCTAAATTGCAATTTCTGCTACAAATTTATTCCCAAAAAGGCATGCAATTTTGGTGATCCCTTATTCATAGAAACAATGCCAAGAAACATAGGACTAAATAAACCAGATCAATTTGCTGCCACTTTTACAAATTCAACACAACGTACTTTTTTGTGAACGTCTAATGTTGGCCCTTTTTATTGTCTTTAGAATGGTCCCAATATTTGTCCCTAAAATTAATGTAAGTAAAACCACATCTATAAAGGATGAAAAAAAAAAGAACCTCTTTAATTCCTACCATATAAATGATGGTCACATTAATATTCTATCCTTTTGGCTATGAACCAACTAATAGCTTTCTTCTAGTACAACAATAAAAACTGTTAAGGGAAATGAGGAAATAGAATGGGGATTATTGCTCTTAGCATTTAACAGTGTATTGGAGTCTTGGTGCTTGCTTGCATTTGCCTGAAATAAGTATCCAAGGGAAAATTAAGTTCTAAGCTGGGCTACTATTTGAAATCCCAGAAAGGGCTCCTGGGAATAGTTTGGCTTTCTGTGACAATAGATTTTCTGATGAAGTACACCATTCCCTAATGAAAAAGACCTGGCACTGCTTCATATGATGAAATTTGACCAATGCAAGAAGCGTGATGATCAGTTTGGGAATGAGTGTTTTAATAAAAGAAACATGAAATCGGCTGTGCTTTGGCAGGACATACCCCAAACCATCATGAGAGCTATTGTCTTGGCCCACAGATGATCCCCACCATGCTACAACTGTGCAAGTTCCCATTGACATCACTGACAAAGCTGGCATGGAGACAAAGACACAATACAAAAACAGTCATGCTGGATTCCACTTTGTCGGAGTCATATGGAAAACAAACCAACTTCCCCGCCTCCCCCAACTTGCCCCAAAAATCTACCATGGAAAAGATCTGAGACTAAGCAGAGCTACTCAAGATGTATATTTCTGGGTAAGTGGATAAACAGGGATAAGAAAAAATAGCAATTGTAGAGAGGAAAAAGGAAAATCTTTAAAAACAGTGATGTGGGTAAATGTGATTAAATGTGAAAAAAAGATATAAAAAGTGAACTTTAAACTATTTAGGTTGGGAATGTCTAACACTTTAACTGGAACAACAGGTCATAGTTTAGGAGGGGATAACACTTGTTTTAAACTACATTTTATAAAAAGATGCCAATGCAATAGGTTTTACTGTATTGACAATATTGAAGCTTACATATTCATTAATAAAAATTAGTTTACATTACCCGCATAAATGCTTGATGTGTTCTACAGTTAGCCACTCTGCTTGATACTTGTATGCTTCCAGTAATCACGTCAAAAGTTCCATTAGAAGAAAAATAAAATCTTGATGGAGACTCTGGCTTTCTGTTCACATCCAAACTCATGTTGTAAAACAAAACTGTGAAAATGTAGAGAGAATTACAATAATATAAGCAATTATCTAAATGCATTTATTTTCTTATTTTTGAAGTGATAATAGTCAAGGTTATATAGAATACTGGAAATATCTTAAATTCTCTCTATGAAATAGCTTTTTAAAGACCAACTAGAAATATGAAAAAAGGAATAATTAAAAATAAAAATTTCGGGCCGGGCGCGGTGGCTCACGCCTGTAATCCTAGCTCTCTGGGAGGCCGAGGTGGGTGGATTGTTTGAGCTCAGGAGTTCGAAACCAGCCTGAGCAAGAGCGAGACCCTGTCTCTACTAAAAAATTAGAAAGAAATTAATTGGACAACTAAAAATATATAGAAAAAATTAGCCGGGCATGGTGGCGCATGCCTGTAGTCCCAGCTACTCGGGAGGCTGAGGCAGGAGGATTGCTTGAGCCCAGGAGTTTGAGGTTGCTGTGAGCTAGGCTGACGCCACGGCACTCTACCGGCAACAGAACAATACTCTGTCTCAAATAAATAAATAAATAAAAATAAAAATTTCAAAGCCAGCAGAAGAAATAAAGTTCAGAGCAGAACTAAACAAAATGGAAACCAAAATAATAATAAAGGAATCAATGAAACAAAAAGTCAGTTCTTTGAAAAGATAAACAAAATCAGTAGAACACTAGCCAGATTAAACAGAAATAGAAGAGAAAGGACTCAAATTAACCTCAATTGAAAATGAAAAAAAGAGACATTACAACTGATACCACAGAAATGCAAAAGATCATCCATGAATACTACAAAAACCTCTATACTCGCAAACTAGAAAATGTAGAGGAAATGGATAAATTCCTAGAAACACACAACCTCCCAAGCCTAAATCAGGAAGAAATAGAACTCCTGAACAGACCAACAACAAACAGTGAGATTCAAGCAGCAATAAATAATGAGTGTGATGCGCACTGTCTAGGGGATGGACACGCTTGAAGCTCTGACTTGGGGGGCAGGGGCAAGGGCAATATACATAACCTATATATTTGTACCCCCATAATATGTTGAAATAAAAAAAATCTCCCAACAAAAACAAAGCCCCAGACCAGATGGATTCACAGCCAAATTCTACCAGATCTACAACAAAGAACTGGTACCTATCCTACAGAACTTATTCCAGAACATTGAGAAGGAGAGAATCCTTCCTAACCCATTCTGTGAAGCTGGTATCACATTGATACCAAAGACAAAAAAGGACACAACAAAAAAAGAAAACTACAGACTAATATCCTTTATGAACATAGATGCAAAAATCCTCAACAAAATACTGCAAACCAACCAAATTCAACAGCACACCAAAAAGATAATTTATCATGATCAAGTGGGTTTCATTCCAGGGATGCAAGGATGGTTCAACAAATGAAAATTAATAAAGACACTTCACCACAAAACCGGAAACAAAAGCAAAGACCACATGATCATCTCAAATGAGAATCAAATGAAAGACTCAATACCATTTACAATAGTTATTAATACAAGAAAATAAAATACCTATATTTAGGTTATTAAGTATGAAATGTCCAATTTCCTTAAGTACTAAGTTTGAAAGTTGGTTTCTCTGACATTTCATTTTGACACTTCTGGTTTTATTTGTATTGTAAAGGTACATCCTCAGTCTTGCAAATGCACAGTTTGGCTTGTGATTATCTTTCAAAAAATTTTTTAGAGTAATTTTCGTGCAACCATGGATAAGTAAAAAAATTCATGTTATTTTCGAATATAAGTTCTGTTGTGGAACCAATGTAGTGCAGACAGCTCGAAATAGCAATGAAGTGTTTGGGAAAGATGTGGCTAAGGAATGCATAGTATGCTGATGGTTTGAGAAGTTCTGTTCTGGTGATTTTAGTCTTGAAAATGAGCTTCATGAACGACCTGAGACCAAGGTGGATGAAGATGAGCTGTAAGCTATAGTGGAAGGGAATCTACCTCAACCTACATGTGAATTAGCAAGGTTTGACATTACTATTCCGACAATATTGAACCATCTGAAACAAATAGGCAACATAAAGAATCTGGATAGATGGGCTGCACATGAATGAAACCAGCGCCAGAAGAGAAATCATCTCAAAGCTTGCTTTTCTTTGCTGTCACCACATAAAGGCAAACCATTTCTACACCGTGTCATTACATGTGATAAAAAATGGATTCTTTTTGATAATTGCAACCATTTGGCACTATGATTGGATAAAGATGAAGTGCTGAAAAACAATCCCAAACCGAATATTCATCAAAAATAGCTAATGGAGTTTGTTTGGTGGTCCAGCACTGTTATTATCCACTACAGCTTCATGAAACCTGGTCAATTACAGTGGATGTCTACTGCAACCAATTGGATGAAATGATGAGGATGCTTGTGATTAAGCAGCTGAGATTGGTTAATAGAGGCAGGCCAATCCTCTTGTAAGACCACATATCACAAAAAACAATCCTGCTCAAACTACAGCAGCTGGACTTGGAGACTCTCTGTCATCCACTACATTCACTAGACCTTGTACTAACTGACTACTGCTTCCTTCCAGGCTGTGGACCACTTCTTGCAAGAAAATATACTCAATTCTCAACAAGCTATGGAAAACACCTTTTGTGATTTTATTGCCACTTGCTCTCCAGGATTCTTCGCTGCTGGCATAAACAAGCTACTGTTAAGATGGCAAACTGTGTTGATAGTTTAGGCAGATACTTTGATTAATTGTACTGCTTCTTGTTTGAGATACAATAAACTACACTTTTGATTCAAAATCAGACATTTCATATTTAATGACCTAACACTTAACCAAGGCAGTGGAAGGTCTCTAAAAGGAGAACTACCAAACACTGATGAAAGAAATCATAGATGACACAAATAGAAAAACATCTCATGCTCATGGATTGGTAGAATCAATATTGTTAAAATGTCCATACAGCCATAAGTAATTTACAGATTCAATGCAATCCCCATCAAAATACCAATGTCATATTTCATGGATCTAGAAAAAATAATTCTAAGCTTCATTCAGAACCAAAAGAGAGCCGGAATAGCCAAAGCAATCTTAAGTAAAAAGAACAAATCTAGAGGCATCGCATTACCAGACTTCAAATTATACTACAAAGCTATAGTAACCAAAGCATCATGGTACTGGTATAAAAGCAGAGACACAGACCAATAGAACAGAATAGAGAAGCCAGAAATAAAACCCCATCTACCTACAATCAACTGATATTTGGCAAAGCAGACAACAGCACATGCTGGGGAAAGGAAACCTTATTCAATAAATGCTGGGAAAACTGCATATCCACATGCAGAAGAATGAAACAGGACTTCTATCTCTCCCCATATATGAAAATTAATTCAAGATGGATAAAATATTTAAGTATAAGTCATGAAACCATAAAAATTCTAGAAGAAAACATAGAAAAAACTGTTCTAGACATCAGCCTAGGCAAAGAATTTATGATGAAGACCCAAAGGCAAATATAGCATCAACTAAAATAAATAAATGGGACTTGATAAAATTAAAAAGCTTCTGCACAGAAAAGTAAATAATTGACAGTGTTAATAGTCAATGTACAGAATGAGAGAAAATATTTGCAAACTATATATCTGATAATGTATCCACCATCTACAAAGAACTCAAACAAATTAGCAAGAAAAAAAAACCAACCCCATTAAAAAGTGGGCAAAAGACATGAACAGAAGTTTTCAAATGAAGATAAATGGCCAATAAACATGAAAAAATGCTCAACGTCACTAATCATCAGGGAAATGCAAACTAAAACCACAATGAGATGCAATTTTTCCCCTATCAGAATGACCATTATTAAAAAGTCAAAAACAATAGATGCTGGCGTGGATGCAGAGACAAAGGATTGCTTATACGCTGTTGGTGGGACTGCAAATTAGTACAACCTCTATTGAAAACAATATGGAGATTCCTCAAAGAAATAAATATAGACTTAACATTCAACAAACAATCCCACTACTGAGTATTCCACTCAAAGGAAAAGAAGTCATTTTATCAAAAAGGCACCTGCACTCGAATGTTTATCACAGCACAAGTCACAAAGATGTGGAATCAACCTAAGTGCCCATCAATTCATGAGATTAAGAAAATGTGATGTGTACACACACACACACACATATGCACTATGGAGTATTACTCAGCCATGAAAAGGAATGAAATAGTATCTTTTGCAGCAACTTGGATGGAACTGGAGACCATTATCTGAAGCAAAGTGTCTCAGAAATGGAGAAACAAATGCCACACATACTCTCTAATAATTGGGAGCTAAATGATGGGCACAAAGAGATGTAAAGGTCATTGGAAATCAAGAAGAGGGGAGGGGTAAAAACGTATCTCTCAGGTACAGTGAACACTATTCAGGTGTTGGGCACACTAAAAGCCCCGACTTAAGTATTATACAAGGTATCCATGTAACAAAAATATTTGTACCCCCTTAATATTTTGAAATTAAAAGAAAAAAAACATTCTACATAAATATCCCTGGTATTAAGGAAGGGAAAAAACAGGATGAGGTGCAGGGCTATAAAATATTGTGAAAATTGCTCAAAAATTATTCCAAATTATTAAGCATGACAATTGAATAATGATATAAAATATATAAATTTCAAAAATTATTTTAATAAATTAAAAAAGGTTTACAAACTTCTCTCTGGGTTTCTATTAACAATATTATCATCTTTATTTGCTTAATCCTCCTATATAAAAAAGTTTCAAAACTACCACGTCAAAATAGTTACTAACAATAAAAGTATTAAGCTTCAGATTTCTTTGGAGTCCTTTTTGTCCTCAGAACATCTGACTAAGACAGTAGAGGCAGACTACTGTGCTCAAATGTCACTTGAAATAATTCTATATTGTGTGGTTACATGACTAATTTTATACATAGTTAGGTTTATTTCTGATTTGAGGGCTTGCTATTTTTCTTTTACTTTTCTTATCTATAAAGGGAACATAAGGTTCAAAAGTCAAACATATATATATATATATATATACACACACACACACACACACATATATATGATTTACTCAAAAATTTCTTTCCAGTCCTGTGCTTGGATTATTTATCCTTCCTCTGTTTTTATTGGCTTCTAATTTGACCTTCCAGTGTTAATCTGTGCAATAATAAAAAAAATATAGACAGCTTCTCAAATATCCTAGCAGTTTGGCATGGCTTATTTCAAATCTGACATAGTAAATATTTACCTGCTAAAGATGATCTTCAAATAAGCAAAAAAATAAGGAAAATTAAAAAAGAAACCCCAAAAATTCCAAGCCAGATCCTACCAAGAAAGTAAGAGTCATTTCCTGAATCTAAACGGGTTCATTGCAAAGCAAGCTAAATCTAGTAGTCTGCTGAGGTGTCATTCATTCTATAGGAACAATAATTCATAAGTGATAAGTTAAAGAATTTATATAATTCCTGAAGTGTTCATTTATATTTTAGGAGTAACTTATACTTTTGAAGAATTTCACCTACTTATTTTAAGGAAAGTATAAAACCTATATTACTCTTACACATTTCAAATAAATCTTTCAATCATCCTTTTACTTGGAAAATAATAAAGTCCAGGTCAATTGACTTTAAAATTAAAATAACTGAGCTTCAATACTTCCGAGAGAAAGAGAAGCAACTGAAATAGCCATCTACAAATTCATCACCCTGAATTCAGACAAAAAGTAAATGAGAAAGGGGTGAATAAAAATCCACTAACACAAAGAGGCAAAACGTCCTGGTTTTATTAAATATGCATACCATGTGAATTATTTCTCCCAAAGAGTCATTTTATGACAATTATAAAGCATATTTCTGTAACAATGCTATGGTTATTTATGAGTTTCATATATTTGTCTTCAACCATTTTAAAAAATATCTCGTCACAATGGAATTGCTAGCACAGAAATCTCTGATTTTACATAAAGGGAAAGAGCCCCATGTATTCAACATGTATCTTTTAGATAATCCATCAGCTTGTCTGTGTTAACGTACAACTCACTGTGGGGTCAGGCTCTTAAACTGTCACTTCTCCAATCAATAACCAGATGAAGGCTTGCCTACCTTCTTATAACTGCAGTTCGGCCAGGACTTTTCCACTATTAAAAATGATTCTGATCTCAGGAAGAGCTACCAGACTTATTCTGTACCTTACATTACAAGCTAATTCAGATTGATATCTCTATTACATACCCATCATTCAACTCAATAAGTATTTGCTCCCATTCATGATGTTTAGATGACAGCTGCCAGCAAGGTCATGAATACAATCGACTCTTGACAGGTCTTGTGGAGATCATAAAATTTGTGAATTATTAATGTTCAAATGATAAACCCAGGTACGCTTTTCTCCTACCATGGGTTAGTTTCATTCTAAGGTTAGCTTAAATATAACGTAATTAGGATGATTAATCTGCTAGCAAAAATGTAATACTTATAAAGTCACATGTACATGATTTGGGAATGACCACAATTTTCGGTGAGCTGTATCAATGCTACTTTCTCCAGAGAAGATAACTGAAAGTTGCCTACATGTAGGGAAACAGGCATGGTTCTCAGGAGCTGATCGTTGCAGAAAATTATTAAGAGATGTGTATCATTGACAGAGATTAGAAGCAGGTCTAGATTCCAGATACATTTCTGCAATTGTTGAAAAAGGATAGAATGTGAAGAAAAGAATCTTCTCCCTCTCAGGCCTTCTAGCTTAAGCCAGCTCTAGGCTTTCAAAAGCTCAGTAAAACAGAGCTGTGGTGATGTTCTTTCTAAAGAGATTACACAGACTAAGTTTAGTTGGTTCACCTTAAACTAATACGGCAAATGATCCTTTGCTTCTTGCCTTAGTCTCTAAACAACTACAGCCTTCTAATGTGCCCTACTTATTTGTGAGAACACCTAGAGAATCTGGAAGATGGGAAAGAAAGGTGCCTATCAGGTGGCTACTCCCTCCTGCTCCAAAGAAGACCCCCATGGCCAAAACCAGTGAGAGCTCACAAGAGGATAGTACACTTCACACTCTAACAGACATTCATTCTGTGGGGCACACTTACCAATGTAACCTGGAACTTCTTTGCCCTTGTATGAGAAACAAAGTGTTAGATCCATGCACACAGAAGGCAATCCATTTTCAATACAGTCAAATTTTGTTCTATTTACTGACTCAGGGTGGCTTAAAGAAGCTTCAACAATCACTACCGGTCTTGTCCTAAGAATGAAATGAAATTAGCAATGTTAATTACAGAATTATTTTTCTTTAAGACAATTGCACTTGTTTTGTTAGTTTGCATTGACCAAGTAATTTCATGAATCTTCCTCATTAACAGTATGTGTACACGTACTCAATTACACAAAGCAAAAAAAATTTTCATTTAAATGTCTGAAAAATTGACTTTGATGATTTGTTTAATGATATCTATGTAAGGTGGAGGAAATACCCTAAAATTCAATAATTAAACTTCAGAATACCAAAAAGAACATGGACGAGTTCACTACCACTGGTGATGTTAAATACCACCTCCCGTCATTTACAACTAAGCCCAATTGTCATTAAGCAGTGAAATGTATCAGCCTTACCTTAGCAACACAGCAGAATCAGACCGAAAAGCACCAACTGCTACATCTAGATGAAAAACAAAAGCAGAGATTAATCATCATTAGTCAAAGAGAATTACTTTTCAGCCACAAATACTTAACTACATATCACCTTTTGACTATATAAAAACATTATTTACAAAAAATTAATTGGAAAAGATATGCTAACATCTTTAAATTCATTCTACATTTGTCTGAATTTATTCATTTATAATAACTTTCATCCCTTTATGACAAACTTTATGATAGAAACTTATGATATAAAGACAGGCTTACTAAAACAAATTTCAATTTTTGGACCAGAAACATACACCCAGAAATTTACTTTTGAAATAAAAAATGATTTTTCTTTCTTTTCATATGTTTGATTTATTTTCATGAGAGTTTTTCAAGAACAAGAAATTAAGTAACAGTGTAAAGATGAGGAATTACGTGATCATTTTTGGCCTATTCTCGAATTCAAGAGCGCTTCAAAAATGAAGGCGAAAAATCATTAGTAAATCGAAGTCTTCCATATTAGTTTTCTGTACTTCACAACAAAGCAGCATCTACAGTAGAGCTTATTTCAATTTATTAAATATGGTAAATTTTATACTCACCTAAATAGCCATTATTATCTGCATCAATTTGTCCTGATATAGACTGTCCAAACATACTTAATGATTTGCTGATTTCAAGTCCTTCAATTCTCTGAAAAATAGGTAAGTTAAGTGGGAAGCAGTTTTTGAACACCTGATATCCCAGAGAAGCAATGAGTTAGCTCAGTAATGAGCCTTTCCATGCATTTACAAACAAAATACATTTTAGTTAAGTCAAATACTTCTAAGAGAGACCAAATTTTCTGGTTTGAAATGGGCAGTTGACAGCTATTTTGTAACTCACAAAAAAATTACTTTCTTTACTTGGTGAGCAAAGGGAAAATTATGCAGTGCAGGTTTTCTAAAACAGTTCTGACTCTTCTCAAGTCTTTTTTCAGCTCCACTTTTACTTCCTCGACCAACACAAATTAAACAAGTAATTTGGAAAATAAGATGTTTATAACCAGGAGGTACTGGAACCTCCTACTCAGGTTTATAAAGGAAGCCAATTTTTTTTTTTTTTTTTTTTTTTTGAGACAAAGTCTGGCTCTGTTACCCGGGCTAGCTGTCATCATAGCTCACTGCAACCTCCAACTCCTGGGCTGAAGCGTTCCTCCTGCCTAAGCCTCCCCAGTAGCTGGGACTACAGGCACGCACCATCATACCCGGCTAATTTTTCTATTTTTTGTAGAGATAGGGTCTCACTCTTGCTCAGGCTGGTCTCAAACTCCTGAGCTCAAAGCAATCCTCCCACCTTGGCCTTCCAGAGTGCTGGGACAGGCATGAGCCACTATGCCAGGCTGAAAGCCAACTTTTTTGACAGGAACAACCCAAGTCAGGTATGTGTTTCCCATTCTATGTACCCAATTTCATGTTCAGATACTGATTCATAAATATCAGGTTGCTTGCTATCTGTATAAAGAAAACCAGTATTTTTTTTTAATCGGACAAGCACATATCTTTCATGTCAAATACAGAGAACCACTTGCCCATTTTTGCTTAATCAAAAATAACAGTGTTTGTTCATGTGTCCATAAAAATATCACTGGAAAAACTTCCCTACTCTACATGTGAATGTAGTTTTTTCTATGCACTGAAATGCCCTGATTTTTCAACATATAAAAGCGAATTCAGAGTTAGATCATGGAATTTTATTGAAGTGCTATCATCTTACTACTACACCCTGAAACAGATATCATATGTGTGTTTAATCGCCCTGTACAATCTTCATGAAATATGGGGCTTTAGCCACAAGGCGAGACACAGCTAATCAAATCAAAATGGGCATATTTGGAATAGCATGCATTTAACCTCAGAACACAAATTTGATGAAATACAAAGAGAAATCTTTAATTAGCTAAAGACAAGCTAGAGTGGGAGTGAACCAGGACCCTTATTTATGAGGGGAAAAAAATGGTTTAAAGAGTTATTAATCCCTTAAAATAAGACCATTTACCATTATTCTAAGAAAATGGAGAAATAAGATGTTAAGTATTTGTAAGAGCAAATTAAAAAAAATAAATCCAGCTGGGTGCAATGGCTCAAGGCCTGTAAACCGAGCACTTTGGGAGGCAGAGGCGGGGGTGGGTATTGCTTGAGGCCAGGAGTTCGAGACCAGCATGGGTAACATAGGAGAACCTGTCTCTACAAAAAGTGGAAAAAAAAAAAAAAATTAACTGGGCACAGTGGCTTGTGCCTGTAGTTCCAGCTACTTGGGAGGCTGAGGCAGGAAGATTGTTTGAGCCCAGGAATTCAAGGCTGCAATGAGCTATGATCCCACCACTGCTGCACTGTAGCCTGGGCATCAGAGCGAAACTGTCTCAAAAAAAAAAAAAAAAAGAAAAAGAAAAAGAAAAAAGACCACCACATAAAACACTAGAAATTTTAAGGATGTTATATTATCAATGCTTCTTTTGGAAATAGAATACTATCTTACCTGTGAGAAGGTTGATGAGATCCCATCTACACGGCCGTTGTAAATATAAATAGCACCTCGCAAGTCATCTTCTTGTGGAGCTCCAATAGCAACATCTATTTGAAGATTTACATAGTGGAAAAATAAAAATTGTTGATATAACATGCAGTTTTGAAAGCTAATCTTCATAATCCATAATTCATATTACTTGATATAAGAAAACTCTTATTTAAAAAAAAAACTCTTGTCAGACAGAAAAAAGTACTATTATATTATCATAATATACATGATTGCACAGAAGTTAGTCCATGGAAGAAAGCATACTGAAGAGGTCTGAGAGGCACTCGAACAGAATGGTCAGGGTGTGGGCTCCACAGCCGGACTGCTGGGCTCCGACCCTGCTCCACCACTGTGCACAGCTGTGATACGCTAGACCCAAGTCTTAATCTCTGTCTTCGTTCCTTCACCTCTAGAATGGGATCATAATTAAATTTACCCTCAGCATAAAAGGACATAACTCATATAAAGTGCTTACAGTAGCTCCTGGCATGTAATAAAATTATAATCTATGAATATTATAATGACAAAAATCTTTATTTTCAGCTATAGGCTTTATTTTATTTGCAAAATAATTTTAAATTAATTACTATTCCAATGAAAGTGATTAAGGTATCTGTTAGGGATATCTGCACACACCCACATGATTTCAGAAATTGGATTTGGTCTATAAAAGTAATGATTGCACCACTTTTATGACTTTGAGATTCGTATCAGATTATGATACCAAGAAGAAAAAAAAGATTTGATCAACTGATATAAGAAAACCCCAGAGTAAGCAGAAACTATGAAAGATAAGGTTGCTTAAGTGCTATAAGTATATAGCATAAAGGAGGAAAATAATATTCTACAGTTACAAGAGCATTTCATTATTTTACCAAGTATTGTCTATTTATTTGGGTATATTCATATATCTATATGCAATGTTTTTTATTATTTTAATGGGAACCTAAGGTACAGAAGGTTAATTTTCATGTTTCTTATTACTATCTAACCTAAAATCTTTTTAACTATGGTGGTAATTATTGACAGCTATTTCAGTGGGAATAAAAATATCTTTGATATGTAACTATGCTAAATGCTATAGAATTTAAAAAATGCAAAAGCCTTTCTATTTTCATTTAAAAAGAAATGGTAAATGCCTATACTTATTTTGTTTAGACATACTAAGGCTAGCCTCTTTTGACTTATGCAAACTATTTTACACTGTTGTATACAAATTCGCCCATTCATTTGTTCATTCATTGGACAAATATTGAGCATCTACTGTATCCCAGGCATTTGCCTGGAGTTGGCAACACAGGGGAGTACCACAAAAAGGAACTCATAGTCTAGTAGGGAGGAAGAGCAATTAGAATCAGAACAACACGGAATGCAAGGAGGGAGTGGTAGAAATTAGGGAAGGTTCCTCATAGAGTATGATGCCTCAGATGAGATTATAGTATTGAAAGATCACAGCCAGGTGAAGAAACGGGAAAATGCAGTTCGGACAGAGAAAGAAGCATGTGCAAAAGCAGGCACGCAAGAGGCAGCATGGCACACATGAAGAACATCAACAGGTTTGGAGTAACGGGGGTCAGATTTGCGTAGAACATAGGAGGAAGAGTACAGAGAGAGAGACAGGAAGGGGAGAAGAGGGAAGTGAAGGGAAGGGGTGGGGGAGAAGTGTCTTATAGCCATTGCAGGAAGACAGTGAGCAATTTCTTTAATCAGAGCGGGATTTATACCTCCACTATTGTGACTAAATCCCTAGTAACTAGAATTCTATACCTTGATTCTTGATGATAACACAGGAAAACAGTAACAAACTTGGGTTATGAAGTAGTTGATATACATAAATTCTTACTAGTGTTATTAGTACTAGTGATCTAAATTAAGGCAAATATCTTGAAACAATACAGATGAGCCTTTTCATAAAACAAATCCAGACTGATTTTGGGGGGTATATTCCATCTTTGGTTGTCTTACATATAGATCCAAACTCTTACTTCCTAGGTTTACACTTGGCTCTGTCACATAGAGCCATGATTGTAGAAATGAGGAAAATACATTTGAAGTACATATAATAAATAATGAAACGTTTTTTCCATGCCTACGCAACTCAATTTGGGACACAATATACACAACAAACACGTATTTGACAACTCTTTTTACTTTTAAAAAGCCTGAACATTTAAATTATTTCATTCTATTAGTATAAATCATAATAATGATCATTAGTATAATCATAATCTTAACATCAGCCAACACTTAAATGGTGTTTATAATGTAGGCGCTGTGCTAGGAACTTTATGCATATTTACCCACATAACTCTAACGACCACAGTAAATACTTTTTCATCCACACTTTACAGATGAGGAAACTGAGGCACAGAGTGTAACTTGCTCAAGGTTACAGGGCCAGGAGGTGAGGTGGCTGGGATCTGAACCCTGCAGCCTGGCTGCAGAGCCCATGTTCTCCATCACCATGCTCTGTAAAATCATTAACAGGGGCTATACCCAAAGTTTTCTCTCTTAGCACCTCTTCCTGGTCTATGTCAGAGAAGTGCTCACTTAGTAATTTATCAATGTTTATTTCAAGGGCATGTAAAATAATAATACATCTTATAATTTACAGTTGTAGAGCCTTATTATGGTTCTGCTCTAAAAATATTCAAACATATAATGTAGAAGTCAGATACTAAAGCTCAAGGTGAACAAAAACTAAAGCAATAATAAGTGGTCTTGGCAAATCTATTTCACACAGGAAATCCAAAAAGATACCTTTCTATCAGCCAGTTGGCTTAGACAGACTGTGTATCTACCACCTATTCCACAATTTTCTCATGTTTTTGATGAAAATTTTACACTGGACTTTTGCCAGATTGATTAGTCATCTCTCCTTAGAAAGTGGCTTGCTTTGCTTTTCTAAGGACACAGGATATAGAGTATCATTTTTTCCTTTAGAAGAACAAAAAATATGACAAATGTCAAAATAACTTAGGTTTGCCATGCAAAGCACCACAAAGTTTTGCATAATAAAAGTGTGATTTGCATCTCATACTAGAGATGGAAGAAAAAAGAACAGGTGGGGCTTTCATTCTCTTTCTAAACTACAATCCTCATCATGAACACAAAGTATCTTCATCAACCCCAGAAAAATAAGATAGAAGGTGAGGCAAAGGAATAAAACAAAAAAAACACATAAAGAAAAATAACATGTACATGCCTTGCTGTCTCACTCGGGCAGACATAGCAGAATGGAATTAAAACATCAACAAAGACTTCTGCATGTAGCTATCCAGTTTTCCCAGCACCATTTATTGAAAAGAGATTCTTTTCCCCAGTGTATGTTTTTGTCAGCTTTGTCAAAGATTAG